TAGGGTAAAGCTCTACTATTGAATAACTTGAAGTTAGAGTCAGCTTAGGGTAGGGGACCACGTGGTTCCAATGGGACCCCCCTTTAGAATAACTAGTAACATAAACTCTAAACACACCTACTACACACAAAACATACTACTCTACACATAGAACAAGAGTATGCCAGACATGGAATAATGTACTTATCTTAAACAAGACACAGAAATAAGGAAACGAAGAGGAAGGGTAGGAGGTTCCTGTTCACACCACGCCAGCTCAGAAAAAGATGGAGTCTCTCTCCATCCCCCCAGCTGGCTGCTGCCGGCAGACTGCTCAACTAATCGTACCGCAGCCCTATACCAAGTTTACTCAGGTTTACTTTACAAATGATTAGAAAGTATTAGTAAGCATAGTTGGTGCCTATGTTATTATTTAATAATCAACCCCAAGCTCAGTCTTTAAATGCTCTTTGAGAAACAAGAATAGTCTTACGTCTGGCAGGGAAGATACAAACAATTGCCACTCGTGATGCGCTCAACTGTACTATAAGAAAGTTTAATAACTCAATTTTGACCTCTGGTTTCCACTGAAGAACCCAGGGTCGTAACAGGTACCATTATATACAGACGTGAGACGCAGGTGTTACGATCGAATGAAAAATTGTAAAGATATATAAAGTAAAGAATCAAAATACCAGGAGATATGTGAATAACAATAATAATTAACTAAAAGACTAAAATAAGTTTATTGAGATTTAGCAGTTCATGGAGGATTGTAGAATGTTGAGACAAGAGGAGGAGATGAAGTTTAAAGAGGAAATGTACACTCTTGATGAATATGTGAAGAAGAGATTGATTATCAACTTAGGGTTATCAGAGGAAGGAACTAAGATTCCATGGTTTAAAGTTTTCAAATGACAAAGGGATGTATTGTACATCTAATTGTCTGAAGGGTTGTGAGACTGTTGTATTTATATCACTGAAATGTGACTGTGATTGTTGTATGAAGGTTGTGGGAGTGTTGTAGATGTATTACTTAAGCCTGACGGTGCTGGAATATTGGAATGTTTTTTTTAAATAAATCGAATTCACCAGAAATCAACATAAACCTTATATATTGAGTAACATTATTACTTCATCAGATCGCAAAGACCAACGGGAGGCCATTGGTGTCTCGGCAGGACCTGGAGACCAGACTAAATACCATTGCAGAGTCCCAGGAGGAACAACTCAGCATATGGCATGCCCTTAGCTACCCTAAACTCCGACTGAGACTCGTCCTTGTGTCAATAATATCGTAAGTACTGTGAGGACGACTTATTACGTCCATCCCTTAAATGTCTTCATAGTCGGTTTGCAGATCAATTTTTGTCCTCAGTCATGGTCTCTTCTTTATAACTGATATATAAGAGACAAGTAACTTAACAAATTCCTGAGTGATCCTCTAAGCTCCTGGGTGATCCTCTAAATTCCTGGGTGATCCTCTAAATTCCTGAGTGATCCTCTAAATTCCTGGGTGATCCTCTAAATTCCTGGGTGATCCTCTAAATTCCTGAGTGATCCTCTAAGCTCCTGAGTGATCCTCTAAGCTCCTGAGTGATCATCTAAGCTCCTGAGTGATCCTCTAAGCTCCTGAGTGATCATCTAAGCTCCTGAGTGATCATCAAAATTCCTGAGTGATCTATCTTGAGGTTATCTTGAGATGATTTCGGGGTTTTTTAGTGTCCCCGCGGCCCGGTCCTCGACCAGGCCTCCACCCCCAGGAAGCAGCCCGTGACAGCTGACTAACACCCAGGTACCTATTTTACTGCTAGGTAACAGGGGCATAGGGTGAAAGAAACTCTGCCCATTGTTTCTCGCCGGCGCCTGGGATCGAACCCAGGACCACAGGATCACAAGTCCAGCGTGCTGTCCGCTCGGCCGACCGGCTCCCGTAGATCATCTAAGTTCCTGAGTGATCATCTAAGCTCCTGGGTGATTCTCTAAATTCCTGGGAGATTCTCTAAAATCCTGAGTGATCCTCAAAATTCTTGATTAATTAATCCTCAAAATTCTTGAGCGATCCTCTAAATTCCTGAGTGATCCTTTAAATTCCTGGGTGATTCACTAAATTCCTGTTTGATCCTCTAAATTCCCAGGTGATCCTCTAAATTCCTGGGTGATCTTCTAAATTCCTGGGTGATTCTCTAAATTCCTGTTTGATCCTCTAAATTCCAGGGTGATTCTCTAAATTCTTGTTTGATCCTCTAAATTCCTGGGCGATTCTCTAAATTCCTGAGTGATCCTCTAAATTCCTGAGTGATCCTCTAAATTCCTGAGTGATCTTCTAAATTCCTGAGTGATTCGTTAAATTCCTGGGCGATTCTCTAAATTCTTGAGTGGTCCTCTAAATTACTGAGTGATCTTCTAAATTCCTGAGTGATTCTCTAAATTGCTGGGTGATTCTCTAAATTTCTTGGTTATCCTCTAAATTCCTGAGTGATCCTCTAAATTCCGGAGTGATAATCTAAATTCCTGGATGATTCTCTAAATACCTGGATGATCCTCTAAATTCCTGGACGATTCTCTAAATACCTGGATGATCCTCTAAATTCCTGGACGATTCTCTAAATTCCTGAGTGATTCTCAGTATATTTGAGTGAGGCAAACAGCCTTAAAGTAACAGCACTCTCCAAAGAAGCTTTCGCCACATTACAGTTGTGTGGCTTTTGTCTCTCCATAGACTTTCAATCATTTCATTTCTTTATTATGTACCCCTCACGCATCCCGTGGGCGGTAGTGGATAGGGTTACAGAGGCACATAATAGGTTCAGGAACTGAACCCCATATTTGACTAAGTCGTTTGGCTAAGCAAGTGACAATCTTGTGAAGCGAGTTCTTCATAGAGAGCAGAGACATGTCCCTTTATATATAGTTTATGAGTCACCAATTGAAAGCATGTACCACTCTTGACAATGTAGACACGCTTGGAAGCCACATGCGAAACCTTTAGTTCAAGTATCTGCACATTTCAGTTTGTATACACGTGTATACCTGGATACCTGGTTGATACCTGGTTGATGGGGTTCTGGGAGTTCTTCTACTCCACAAGCCCGGCCCGAGGCCAGGCTCGACTTGTGAGAGTTTGGTCCACCAGGCTGTTGCTTAGAGTGGCCCGCAGGCCCACATACCCACCACAGCCCGGTTGGTCCGGCACTCCTTGGAGGAATAAATCTAGTTTCCTCTTGAAAATGTCCACGGTTGTTCCGGCAATATTTCTTATGCTCGCTGGGAGGACGTTGAACAACCGCGGACCTCTGATGTTTATACAGTGTTCTCTGATTGTGCCTATGGCACCTCTGTTCTTCACTGCTGTATAATCGTATTCATATCCACAGAATTTGTATATACATGTCGCATGGAGTAACACTGATGGGGATTAATATCCTGCCCCACAACATCTTCCTGAGCTTCTTCATATTGTCTGCGAGTCAGTTCCCGGGCATGGTGGGCAGCTGGGCCAGTCTGCAGTACCTAGGGCGCCGCTTCTCCACCATGTCCTGCTCTCTGCTCTCAGTGGCTCTCTGCTCCGCGGCCTCCTTCTGCTTACACGGTGAGACAGAGAGTGATTTCCCTATTACCTACCCGAATTAAACTGCAGGTTTAGTGCTGTTATTCTGTACCTCTGCCGCTCTCTCTCTCTCACTATCTCTGTCTCTCTGCCTCTCTCTCTCTCTGCCTCTCTCTCTCTCTGCCTCTCTCTCTCTCTCTCACTATCTCTGTCTCTCTGTCTGTCTCTGTCTGCCTGCCTCTCTCTCTCTCTCTCTCTCTCTCTCTCTCTCTCTCTCTCTCTCTCTCTCTCTCTCTCTCTCTCTCTCTCTCTCTCTCTCTCTCTCTCTCTCTCTCTCTCTCACTATCTATGTCTCTCTCTCTCTCTCTCTCTCACTATCTCTGTCTCTCTTTCAATCTCGGTCTCTCTTACAATCTCGGTCTCTTACAATCTCGGTCTCTCTTACAATCTCAGTCTCTTACAATCTCGGTCTCTCTTACAATCTCGGTCTCTCTTACAATCTCTGTCTCTTACAATCTCGGTCTCTCTTACAATCTCGGTCTCTCTTACAATCTCTGCCTCTCTTACAATCTCGGTCTCTCTTACAATCTCTGCCTCTCTTACAATCTCTGTCTCTTACAATCTTTGTCTCTCACACTATCTTTGGTATTCTTTGGTATAGAGAATGAACTGTTACTACGCTTTGTATGCATTTATAATTTCAAGAGCTGATGATGCAGTTATATTCATGTATCCAAGGGGTCCTGGATACCGTTTTGTAGAACCTTGACCCACGTGACCCAGTCACATGGTCAAGGTTCTACAAAACTTAAGAGGAGGGACCTCTCCATGAGGGCAAGGATGGAAAGACACACGAGGAGAAACCTCGGTAAAATCAACCGAGAGAGAACCTTACAAGCGAGACAACCGTACAGAAAGGGGAAGGTGTTGAAAGAGAACGGGGACCACAGGATGGGTAATGGTCAAAGTACGACATAAGCGAGAGGGAGGGTGTTGTTGGGACCGTTCAAGGCAGCGAGGGCATAGCGATCACGGCGATCCTGTAGAGACAGGACGCCGGTATCAACATACAGGCTCTGGCTGTACCAGGCAGCTCAGGCAACCCAGTATGGTGCAAAGCATCAAGACGGCGAAGAGTTGAGGGAGAGGCAGACGAGTAAGCAGGGCAGCCATAAACGAGTTCAGAGAGGAGAGAGAGGAATGTAAAGAGAGGAACATGCGCCTATTAGCTACTCAGAAGGTATGGGTCAAGACCTAAATTAAGTTAAGGGTCATAGAGCATTCAACTCGGAGGTGAGAGATATGGGGTAACCAAGACAAACATATGTGTCAAAGATTAACCCCAAAAGCTTAGTGGAATCCATATACAAAGGAGGAATACCATAAAGCGACAAAAAGGGTCGAAGAACGACCTAACTCTGAGTAATGGTCATAGCACGTCTTAATTGTAGAGAAGTTGATTGTAGCATTAATCGCAAGTTGAAGCCGCGGTTGGAGGAAAGGCGAGTCATCACCGTAACAGAAAGGGGTAAGATCGTCAACATAGAGAGCTGAGAAAATGCTAGAGGAAAGGAAAGAAAGAAGACCATTAAGGACAACTAGGAAAAATCAGTAGTGCTCAGAACACTACCTTGGGTTACATCTTTGTATTGCCGAAAAGAGGCAGAGAGAGTGGCACCAAGCCTCTCTGTAATGGAACGACTAGAGCTTTGGAAGAAGAAAGGGAGATTACCACGAAGGCCAAAAGAACGGAATTAGGACAGAATAAGGTATCTCCAGGTGGTGTCATACGCCTTTTCCAGGGCAAAAAGGACAGCGACCACAGAGGTCTTCGCAGCAAAGGCAGTACAAATATAGACCTCCGAATTCACAAGGACATCAGTCGTGCTGCGACACTTGCAAAAGCCAAATTGAGAAGGAGAAAGGAGGTGATTGCGTTCCAAGAACCACATCAGAAAGACATTGACCATACGCTCAAAGAGTTTGCAGACGCAACTCATTAGAGCAATGGCGCAGAAATCTTTAGGGGATGACCCAAGAGAACCTGGTTTCCGAATAGGAAAAACAGCACCCTCAAGCCAGTCCTCAAGGACTGACGACAACTCCCAAGCACGGTTTCAGTAAATACTGAAACATGCATGGCTGGAGATGCTGAAGCATCTCATAATGAATACCATCTGAGCCGCAGAGGGTCAGAGCAGATTGGAGTTCTGAGAGAAAGGACCGTTATAGGAAAGATGAAGATGAGTGTGAAAATCCATGGGACAAGATTCAAGAAGGGGCTTACGAGTAAGGGGGAAGAAGGAGGAGGAAGATAAGAATCGGAACTAATAATCGAAAAATGGGAACCCAGTTCGGTCGCGACCGACACCTGATCCGCCACAATAGAACCACGGAGGTGAAGGACTGGCAAGACACCTGACAACTCACCCGCTGTCTTGCAGATTTTCTTCCAGATCAGGGGCAAAGGAGTACCAGATGTAATGGTGGAAACGAAAGATCTCCAACCATCATGCTTAACTGTACGGATGGCCATACGGATGGGGCCACCGCACTCACCTTACCAAGCAAAATAAAAGAATCGGACGTCTGTCGACGTCGGTGTTTCTTCCAGGCTGCACACTTACACGAACAGCCCGAGCACAGTCTTCATTCCACCAGGGAACACATTTCCGCGAGCCCCGGGATGTAAAGCAAAGAACAGAGCAGAGGGAAGCCTCAAAAACTGTCATGAAATAGGACGACAGCTCGAGGGTGAGGCATGTCAGAGAGGTCGAAAAGAGTAGCGCGTAAGGTGAAGAGGTTCCAATCAGCGTTGGCAAACTGCCATCCAGGAAAGGAGAGAGGAGGGTGAAAAGAGAAGGTGATAAGGATGGGGAAATGGTCACTGCTATGGAGGTCATCAAGAACCCGCCAGGTGAAGTACAAATAAAGAGAAGATGAGCAAAGAGAAAGATCAAGACTGGAGAGGATGCAAGTGTGGAAGTCAACATGAGGGGGCTCATCAGAATTCAGAAAAGACAAAGAAGAAGAGAGGACGAATGATTCGAGAAGTAAGAAGCGGATGTTTGTGAGTACATCTTCACAGAGGGTATGCCAACAGTTAAAATCACCCAAAAGGAGCACAGGCTACTGTAAGGGGTCCAACAGGTGTCTAAGATCAGGAAGAGAAAGCGTGACATTTGGAGGGAGATAAACAGAACAGGCTGTATACCATTTACTCACAAAGATAGGGGCAGCAGAACACTGAATGAGCGACTGAAAAAGTAGGGGGACGGGTGAAGAGAGCAATAGAGTTATATGCCCCAGCAAAAGCTGGAGAAGGGTAGCGAAAGGAAGAACCACGGAAGCGACCAGAAGGAGCGCCAAGCATCAGCTCCTGGAGTCAGACACAAAGCAGTGAAAACTGCATGATTAGAAGTTGGCGTTCATGGAAGTTGGCATAAAAATCACGAATATTCCACTGAGGAACAAACATAGACAAGAGAGAGAGAGAGAACAGAAACAAAGATAAGGGAGAAACAAAGGCAAAGAAAAACACAGTAGATTAAGTAAGAATAGGATCAGTGAGATCAGGATGATGATGCATAGGCAAAGCTAGCAAAGACAATGGAGTCAAGGGAGCGGGAGGACGGACCAGAGGCGGACTGACAGAGTCCGGAGCAGGAGGAGACATCAGAGAGGGACGATGAAGGGAATCGGGGGATGAAGGACAGAAACAGGAGAGTGAACCGGATCAAGGGCAGCATCCAAGGGAGAATCAAGAACCAAGGGAACCTCCATAGAAGGGACAGGTGACTCTGCCACTGAAATATGAGGGAGAGTGTTGGAGTCGGAAGGTGAGGAATATAATGAAACCTTCTTATCCGCTGGGTGACAGGCTTACCATCATCAATGTAATGGGTGACAGCCTTTACAGTCTCAACAGAAGAAAGAGAACAGGAACGATCAACATGAAGAACTCTGGGAAGAGGATGGTCAATGGCCTGAACAGACAGGCGGAGAGGAGGGTCAAAAGACAAAGGGAAGGGATGCGAAGGAGTGAGGCGAGAAGGGAAAGAGGGCACAGGAGGCACCAGTGCACCAGATGCGCCTGACAGTTGGGTAGACAACGCTATGGATTCGTGGTCCTGAGGTTCCGGGTTCGATTCCCGGTGGAGGGGGAGACAAATGGGCAAAATGTTTCTTTCACCCTGATGCCCCTGTTACCTAGCAGTTAATAGGTACCTGGGAGTTAGACAGCTGCTACAAGCTGATTCCTGGGGGGGGGGGGGTGTAACAAAAAGGAGGCCTGGTCGAGGACCGGCTCGCGGGGACGCTAAGCCCCAAAATTACCTCAAGATAACCTCAAGGAGAAGGCAGTGAAGACCGAGAAGGAAGAAAGGGAGGAAACGCCAGGCGGAGAACCAGGAGGAAGACACTCTGGCCCAGAAGACAAAGGAGCAGGTGGATCATCCACTCTCCCTAGTGGAGCGTTCAATTCCCGACCGTCCAAGTGGTTGGACACCATTCCTTTCCCCCGTCCCATCCCAGATCCTTATCCTGACCCCTTCCAAGTGCTATATAGCCATAATGGCTTGTCGCTTTCCCTTGATAATTCCTTCCTTCTCCCTAGTGGATGATACTGAGGTGTTGGTAGAGATGTTGGGTCCATGGACAGGAAATGGTTGCGAAACTTAGATAGCGGGAGAAGGCAAAGAGAAGTGGAATGCAACACACGAGCATAAGACATACCAGAGAAAGAGGGAAGACGGCGTACTTGTCATCTCGCATCAGGAATGATAAATGATTGTGATGTTTCAAATTGAGGATGGCTTTCTAAATTTTGAAGTGCACACATGTGCGGGAGAAGGTAAGGTGGGCGTCACCGCAATTGATGCAGTGAGCTTGGGATGAAGCGCTCTCCGTCTTAGAATGATCTGAGTCTCACACAAGGGTCATAGAGACCCAACACTTGTGCATCTGAGGGGACCATGCACAAATCTCCAGGACCTATTGCAGCGACGAGGAGAGGGGACGTACTCCTGAACGGAGCATCTGGCACCAGAAAGAATGACGAAAGAGGGAAGGGACCTACTATCAAACGTGACCTTCACAACGCGAAGAGGCTGACGACGACGACCACGAGGGGGTCGAGTGAACGTATCTATCTGAAGAATAGAATGGCCTTGGGCCTCAATGCTATATTTATTATCCTCGTGGCAGTCTTTCAGTTCCCTGTCACCAGTCGCAGCATGGTGTGTGAGAATAACTGTGCAAATGCTGGCATTTAAATGGGCATTTTTGGAGATCCGAACAAGGGTCTCTTCAATGCAGCACAACGAAGCCAAGTGGGCAGCCGCTTCCCGAGAAGGGGTTGGAACGACATGTAAACCAGTACGGGTGAGTTTAAAAGTGACAAAGGAATCCACAGAATCAACGATGTGTTTATAGAGGAATGAATCATCAGGACGAGTAGGGTTAACATGACTAAGATCAAAATTCTTAGTCCACGTAGATCCTAGGAAGAAGGAGATTGGGACGGAATCATGCACATGTGAGTGCAGAGGTAATGTCACAGAGCACCCCTAGTAAGAGAGGGGGTAAAAGGCACAGTTTTGACAACGAGAGCAGGAGCCACACCATGGGATGATGTGGTCACCACTGGGGGCTTGGGGGCTCAACCCTGCCACAGAGGTGGGAGGGAAGCAGAGAAAGGTAGTTGGAGGAGTCAGAGAAGTAGCATGGTTTGGGTCTAATATGGCGAGGGTTACAGAGCCCAACCTTCCAGCACAGTGCAACTCGGGGGCATGGTCGCCCACCTCACGAGTCTGAGAAGTTAAAGGAGGGTCAGAGAATGCCATAAAACGAACAGGTAAAAATTTCATTCACGACTAAGCTCTCCATACCCACCATAGAGCCACAATTAGAGGAGAGGACACCCGACAAGATGGGGGCCCCCAGGGTGCATCGGGGATATACACCCTGTAATCGCCACCTTAAGAACCGTCAGTCCGTCGAGATCGGGCTCAGCAACAAAGGCAAAGCTTGACAATAAAAGCGTTCCCTCGCTCGATGACGTCAAGTACCACAGTTTTACGGATGAGAGTGTGCGCCTCCCCAAACACCCTGACGTTAAAACATAAGAAGACATTGGAAAGAATATTCAAGAATGGTAAAAATTTGGCAGAAAGTGAACAAGGGGAAAGGAGAAGAGGTGGGGAGGAAAAACGAAGCAAGAGGAAGAGGAAAATGCTACCAGCAAAATTTGTGAGGACGGCAGCAGGAGCATAAGGCAAAAAAAGGACAGATCACAAGCCGTCCCAAAGAGCATCACACTCCCGCAGCCGCCCTCCAATCCCCCTCACGACGGTAACAGACTCAAAGGGAGTGGGGAACATCTGTAAGTCTGTTGATATTATTGAATGATCCATAGATGTGTGGCTTCTCTTGCATGATAGTATGATGGTAGATGGAATTACTGGTGTCGATTTCACTTTGCCCCAAGTCTATAGGATTTTGTTGAAGTTCTAGGTGTACTATTGTTCTCAGACTGCTTATTGACAATCCAAGGTTATACTCAATTTCTCCTTTAAAGGCAGTTTCTTTGGCTAACTCATCAGCTCTATCATACATTTGGAGGCCAACATGAGATGGAGTCCACTGCTAGCATCATTAATAATTTTGTTGTATTTGTTTCTAACTTCAAACACGAGCATGTTACAGTTATGTCTTAAAGAGTTGAGTAGAATTAAGGATGATAAAGAGACACTTACAATTAATGTATCAAGTTTGGAGACTTGTACACACTTTCAGTGCAAGAAGCAAGGCCAATAGTTCGGTCTGAAGGGTAGAGGCCCAGTTGTTTATACGGACTCCCCCACTCAAAATATAAGCCATCGCCCATTGTCAGAACAACTACACTTCCAGCTACACCCGTGGGACGGTGTAGGGAACCATCAGTGTATAGAGAGAAAATGCGTTGTGGAAAGAACATCGATATGGCTTAAGGCGCTAAGTTTTGTCTTGATACGAAGCTTGGACTGATCTCAAATTTGTTTCTTGGGTGGAAAGAGAGGATTTAAATTTGAAAGGGGGTAATCTCCCACGGTGCAGGAAGGTGCCACTGTGGTCTCTCCTGGTACAAATTAGGAATCTGATACATTCTGAGTTCAGTTCCTAAGTGTGAATATTGACATCACTATAACTATACCGTATTGGTAGAAATACCTTTGAAATGCTTCTCCATTAATGCTTCTGAAACTGTTCTCTTCACTGCTGCAGACGAGTGGCTGCTGATGTTGGTTATCGGAGCCTTGAGACTGTGCCAGATGATGTTGATCCAGGCGATGTTTGTGGTTCTTACCGAGATCTTGCCAACCCCCATCAGGTCCTCTGGCCTCGGCCTCTATAACGTCTTCGGGCTTCTATCCATGATATTTTCGCCTTATATCCTGCATGTGAGTGCTTGGGTCGGATTATAGGTTGAATGTCTGAGGTTGGTTACTGAGGGTTAGGGACCAGTTTATTCAACAATTATCTGCCATGCTACATCTAGAAATAGAATTGTAATATCTTATCTTTCTGAGGAAAAGTGTATAATGAGAGAGGTTATATATAGATTTTTTGTAAGTACCTATCACACTATACATAAACTTAAACAGCTTTAATACAAATATTCTCTCTCGACTAAAGTTAAGCTTTCAATCATGCACACAACCACTCACCTCACACACACTAGCCTTCTATTCTGGCATTTTACTCAGATTTTAACTTCACTGAATGAGCTTGGCATACTAGCTCAAAATCTACACTAAGCTGGAATGATTTGGGTTTAGATTTAAGTTTTACCAACACAAATGTTTACTAACCAATCAGCAACGATACTATAGTCCTGAACATACTCCAGAACTACAGTAAACTTTCTCATTGTATATACACCGAGAAACGGGGAACACCTCTAGGCGCATGTGTCTCTTCGCTATGAGTTCACTTTCAACATTATGGCTATCTTCTTGAGGTTATCTTGAAATGATTTGGGGCTTAGCGTCCTCGTGGCCCGGTCCTGGACCAGGCCTCCTTTATGTTACACATCCCCGGTAAAGAGCCCGTAGCAGCTGTCTAACTCCTAGGTACCTATATTCTACTTGGTGAACAGGTACATCAGAGTGAAAAAAAACTTTGTCCATTTGTTTCCGCCTCCAACGGGGATCGAACCCAGAACCTAAGGACTACGAATCCCGAGTGCTGTCCAATCAGCTATCAGGGCCCCTTATCATCATTATGGACCAACAGTCCTTGTAGGCTTCCACGACTCCCCTTCCCTGCAAGTAAAGGAGGCGATACTATATACACAGAGGTTTACACCACTTCCCAGTCCATATAGCTATAGTTTAGTTTGGTCCTGAAAGATATTCTTGACTAGAGTGAACTTTCTGGCTGGTCAGAATACTATTTTGGTAGCCATAATAACCCTCTCATGGGTGATAAGTCTTAATAAACCTCCCGTGGATGATAAGCCTTAATAATCCTCCCGTGGATGATAAGCCTTAATACACCTGGTGCAAGTGGTCGCTATAGCAACTAGTTTCGCAGACTTTCCAATCCTGTCGTAAATTTCGACAACAAATTACCAACATCTGGCATCCCCAGCTAAAACGGCTATGTCAGGGACTTACTAATATTACTAATCTACTAACTATATCACCGAGAATGGATTTTGTAGCTTCTCAGAAAAAATGGAATGTTGCCACGTACGCAAAGCCGCTATTTATACACAATTTTTCTCTTATGAAAACAAAACCTTCAGTCCAAAGATTAAATTTGATAAAAAAGGTACTCTTTGGAGTTGAACTTACTTTAATATGAAACAATTACGAAGTTTACCTCACTAAGTCGATTATGACAAATTTGGAACCGGAAAATGGATGGCGTCTTAAGAGCCGGGAGGGAGGAGGGCGACGCCACGCCATACTCCACACACTACCAGGTAGAAGAGGACATGCTTGAGCGAGTTCCCTGGACCTTCCTGCGAAGATTCGAATTATGGGACTCTAGTGTCTCCTGTTATCTCCACAAACCATAGCAATAAGAAGTGTTCCAGTTCTGATTGACACAAGTTAAATTGATCACTAGTGTTATATGTCAATTGGTTAGGAATTTCAGCAATTTCCCTTTATTTATATATATATATTTAGATCCTAACTGCTTGTGTTACGATGTACCTAATTCACAGGTGAAATCGAGGAGAAAGAAATGTCCTAAATTAATCCTTTATCTGCCCATATCTTGTTGCCAGAATTTTGTTTATATATATATATATATATATATATATATATATATATATATATATATATATATATATATATATATATATATATATATATGTCGTACCTAGTAGCCAGAACTCACTACCCAGCCTATTATGCAAGGCCCGATTTGCCTAATAAGCCAAGTTTTACTGAATTAATATATTTTCTCTAAATTTTTTCTTATGAAATGATAAATCTACCCATTTCATTACATATGAGGTCCATTTTTTTTATTGGAGTTAAAATTAACGTAGATATATGACCGAACCTAACCAACCCTACCTAACCTAACCTAACCTATCTTTATAGGTTAGGTTAGGTTAGGTAGCGGAAAAAGTTAGGTTAGGTTAGGTTAGGTAGGTTAGGTAGTCGAAAAAACATTAATTCAAGAAAACTTGGCATATTAGGCAAATCGGGCCTTGATTAGTAGGCTGAGAAGTGCGTTCTGGCTACTAGGTACGACATATATATATATATATATATATTATATATATATATATATATATATATATATATATATATATAATATATATATATATATATATATATATATGTCGTACCTAGTAGCCAGAACGCACTTCTCAGCCTACTATGCAAGGCCCGATTTGCCTAATAAGCCAAGTTTTCCTGAATTAATATATTTTCTCTAATTTTTTTCTTACGAATGATAAAGCTACCCATTTCATTACGTATGAGGTCAATTTTTTTTTATTGGAGTTAAAATTAACGTAGATATATGACCGAACCTAACCAACCCTACCTAACCTAACCTAACCTATCTTTTTAGGTTAGGTTAGGTTAGGTAGCCGAAAAATTAGGTTAGGTTAGGTTAGGTAGGTTAGGTTGTCGAAAAACAATTAATTCATGAAAACTTGGCTTATTAGGCAAATCGGGCCTTGCATAGTAGGCTGAGAAGTGAGTTCTGGCTACTAGGTACGACATATATATATATATATATATATATATATATATATATATATATATATATATATATATATATGTCGTACCTAGTAGCCAGAACTCACTTCTATGCCTACTATGCAAGGCCCGATTTGCCTAATAAGCCAAGTTTTCATGAATTAATTGTTTTTCGACTACCTAACCTACCTAACCTAACCTAACGTTTTCGGCTACCTAACCTAACCTAACCTATAAAGATAGGTTAGGTTAGGTAGGGTTGGTTAGGTTCGGTCATATATCTTCGTTAATTTTAACTCCAATAAAAAAATATTGCCCTCTTACATAATGAAATGGGTAGCTTTATCATTTCATAAGAAAAAAATTAGAGAAAATATATTAATTTAGGAAAACTTGGCTTATTAGGCAAATCGGGCCTTGCATAGTAGGCTGAGAAGTGCGTTCTGGCTATTAGGTACGACATATATATATATATATATATATATATATATATATATATATATATATATATATATATATATATATATATGCGAACAAGCCTGAATAGTCCCCAGGACAATATGCAACTGAAAACTCACACCCCAGAAGTGACTCGAACCCATACTCTCAGGAGCAACGCAACTGGTATGTACAAGACGCCTTAATCCACTTGACCATCACGACCGGACATAATGAGGTGATAGCCGAGGCTATTTGAACCACCCCATCGCCGGCACTCGGATAGTAATCTTGGGCATAGCATTTTACCAAATCACCTCATTCTTTGGGGCACACGTGAGGAACACAAATGCGAACAAGCCTGAATGGTCCCCAGGACAATATGCAACTGAAAACTCACACCCCAGAAGTGACTCGAACCCATACTCTCAGGAGCAACGCAACTGGTATGTACAAGACGCCTTAATCCACTTGACCATCACGACCGGACATAATGAGGTGATAGCCGAGGCTATTTGAACCACCCCACCGCCGGCACTCGGATAGTAATCTTGGGCATAGCATTTTACCAAATCACCTCATTCTTTGGGGCACACGTGAGGAACACAAATGCGAACAAGCCTGAATGGTCCCCAGGACAATATGCAACTGAAAACTCACACCCCAGAAGTGACTCGAACCCATACTCTCAGGAGCAACGCAACTGGTATGTACAAGACGCCTTAATCCTAAAAGAACCACCCCCACTCGGCGGTGGGGTGGTTCAAATAGCCTCGGCTATCACCTCATTATGTCCGGTCGTGATGGTCAAGTGGATGAAGAACTCTGTAGGGTAAGGCAGGTCCTAGTCAACAACGGATTCTCCAATGGTTTCGTTGAAGACATCATAAGAAGGAAGGTGAAACGCCATGCAACCTCTGAAGAAATAACTAACACAACACCCTTACCCCCTATTAGACGATTTTACAGGAACTTCTTTTCCACAGCTCAAAAAACGGAGGAAAGGGTCCTGAAAGATATTGTTGATAGGAACGTTATCCCTACAGACAAAAATCAGAAGATACAATTGACGATTTACTATAAAACCAAAAAAACGGCCAACCTCCTCAAGAGAAACTCTCCAGACACAAGGCAGAACGCTTTAAAAGAGACCAACGTCGTCTATGCCTTCAAATGCCCACTTGGGGACTGTAAGCCTCAAAGAACTCAGTATATAGGCAAGACAACAACATCTCTTTCCAGGCGATTAACGATGCATAAGCAACAGGGCTCCATTAAGGAACATATGAGATTATTACGCCAATTTCCTCGAACTCCAACTTCTGATTTCGCGGTTTTCGCCCCTTTTGTCTGTCTCCAGGAGCCGATGCTTGGTGCTCGTCCTGGTCGTTTTCGTGGCTATTCCTTTCTCTCCCCCCCCCCCCAGCCGTTGCTGGGGCTTCTAATTCTTCTGCTCTCTTGATTCGTGCTGATGTTCTCTTTGTTCCTCTACTTTTTCCTTCGCCTCTCCATTGTTCTGCTGCTCGTATCTTTGTGGGGAAATGGTACACAGTTTGTTCCATTTATCTCCCCCCGAGTGTCCCGCTTTCTCTTCCTGATTTGAAACACCACCTAGACTCCTTGCCGGAGCCTGTGCTCCTGCTGGGTGACTTCAATTGTCGTCATTCTCTTTGGGGTGACGTTCTGACGAATACCCGGGGTCGCCTTCTGGAGCCGTTTCTCCTCTCTTCTTCCCTGTCTCTTCTGAATTCTGGTGAGCCCACTCATTTGGACTCTCGGACTCGCACCCTTTC